CTGGTAGTTGATTTCAATCGTTGGAATTTTGTTTTGCAAAATTTATATATAAGATATATAGATATGTATGGTTTCAAAATGTTTGCAAATGGTTTTAATTCCCATGATCCATGTGACCAGAGAGTGCAACACTGTTCCTTGCAGCCGAGGGAGAGGTCCTCTCTTGTCGGGCAGTGATTGATCATTATGGGTTGAGAGGTTAAGTTTAAGGCCATTTAGGGTTATACCTGATGGGCTAATCTTGCATCTGCCCACAGTCCCTAGGTTTTTATAAGATGGCTTGGCCCAGGGACCGCTTAGTGTAAGTGTTGGGCCCATAGAGTCCATGTGATGGGCTCAAGGGGTTCACTTGGCTCTCTAGTGAATTCGGCTAGGCCTTGTTACAAAGGCTGGGCTGAACTCATGTGGCTGATATGTAGATCAATGCTTGGGTCCCACGCCATACAAAGAAGCCCAATTGGGCACCAATTTGGAAGCCTATTGAGCACTTAAAACATATTGGGCCTCAAGCCCATTTTGAATTGGACTGATTTGATCAATCACTTAAAGGGGCAGATCTGAGATTAGTTTAAACCAGAAAGGATTGGGTCTTAACCTTATCCACTCATGGGGACCAAATTCATATAGGATTTGAATCTGGTAACCTCCTGATAAGATCAGGAGTGGGCTGATCAAATCTGCAGATAGAATTAAGAAGACTCCTTATCCAAATACATATTTGGATTAGGATAATTCTCCTAATGAGATTAGGAGGTTTCTTAATCACAAAGGAAAGAGGAGAAACCCTAATTCGAATTACAAGAATTCAAACCCTAGGGATTTCGCAGAACACTCTGTAGCTTTGAGATAGGATCTCAGAAACCCTAGAGAAGAAAAGCAGTTTGCCATCTTCTTTTCTAGCCTTCTCCTCTAGCAGCCGCCGCCATCTACTGCAGTTTGTGTTCTCTGTGAAGGAAGATCAAGAAAAGTTCTTGATTTTGTGTGGTGCTCTCTGGTTCGTGGGATGAACACTGCTGGTTCTGTTCCATCATCACTGTGTCATCTTCAGTAGGAGTAGTTCTTGGTATCTTCTTTGGGTGTGAACACCAACGTTGGGAGATACTGCTTCTCCGGATCAGGTATATCCCTTCCCTTCTCTTGTGGTTCAGATCTGGTTCGGTTTTGGTTCAAGTTAGATCCTTGAATACTGTATTCCAAATTTAGGGAATATGATTCCCTCGAGTCAGTTCTCGAAAGAGTAGCCAATAAGGTTGTTGTGGAGCCTGAAACCAAGGTGGAGGTCAGCTGTGAAGAGATCGACTAGGTTTGCATCTGACACGGTGCTTGGTGGGTGTCGAATCCAACCAAAAATAAAAAGTCTTGCTCGAAGTGAATAATTTGTATATAGTGATGAGCAAGGTCGTCTCCACAGGGATTCGGTGGATTTATTTCCATGTACACGAAGTAGGGGGTTATTGAATTAAGGAAAATAAGATGAAATAAAAGAAAATAACAGAAAGCAAGGATCAAATCGATGGGAGATAGCTTCTGATTAAAGGGACAAGTTCAGCTTTGATTCTTATCATTGATCCTCGATGCAAGGATGAATTCATAGGATATGAATAAATTGGTTATAGCCATTAACAAGCTCTAACAGCCAGCCTCTACTCGTATTATTCGATAACCAAAACAAGCTCTTTGATTGCTTCTCTTATTAATAGACAATCCTAAACAAGATCTTAGGATTTAATATATTAATAGCATTAAGAGGGGAGAGACCCAATTCTGGTCAGCGATCTCACAAGCTCGAACCGTTTAAACCAGATCATAAATTTTCCTAACATAGATCGAAAACTTTTTTGCAATCAATTTATTCTAGTTGCCACCATGATTAAACTACCAATCATATATGAAATTGGAGGTTCAATTGGCCATAGATTATTCTCATTGAATGAGCAAGGGGCCCTTCTTGCTTAATCAATAAAAGTAATCTTAACAGGAAATCGCAGAAAACATATGAATACCCATAAACACTGAACTAAAATAAAATCAATTAGATCTCACAATGTTTATAGAATCAAAGCTTCCCTAACCCTTCAACCAGAAAATAAAACCTTACAAACACTTTATGATGAAATCGCAGCTTCTAGATGAGAGGGGGTGAACTCTACTTCTTCCTCCTTGATTGCTGATTGCTCTCTTTGAAGGTTAAAGCTCACTTGGAGGATTTGATGGTGTCCTTGGGTGCTAGTCTGCCTCCTTTATATAGACTTAGGAGGGAGTTGTCTCCTGCTCCTCGAAGGAGTTCTTTCTTCATTGGGAGTTTAGTTCTCTAATAGATAATGCTTAGATTAGATCTAATCTATTCCTATCTCTTAACTATTAGTTCTCTAATAGTCAATCCAATTTTTGCTACTACAAACCAGGTAGTAAACTAGGGAAAACATCTTTATCTTCTCTATCTTTTTATTCCCTTTTTCTCCTCTGAAGAAATGAGTGCATTTTATGCTCCATCTCACTATTGGATTATTCGTCTAGTAGGTGCATTTTATGCTCAATCCTACTATCAAATGACTTGGCTGGTAGGTGCATTTTATGCTCCATCCTACCATTAGATGACTTGGCTGGTAGGTGCATTTTATGCTCCATCCTACTATTAGATGACTTGGCTGGTAGGTGCATTTTATGCTCCATCCTACCATCAGATTACTTAACCGGTAGGTGCATTTTATGTTCCATCCTACCAATTGTAGCAATGGTAAAGTATTTTCCCTTTACTTAAACCTGAATATTGGACTAGCTTAAAAGGAAATGGCTTCAGATAGGTCATGTACTTCTTAATTGTACCTCATTACTAGGCCCATAAGAATTTTCCCATAATATTGTTTCGATTGACTTCAAAAGAGTTGAGTTTTTAATTTTTTTTTGAAATAAAAAGCAATTAAAACCTATACTCCCCTCCCACACTTAATTTCAGAAAGCTTGCAGAAGTATAAAGATAAGGGGTCTTCCCTGATGCGGTGGAAGGTGGGTGAGGAGGACAGAATTTCATGCCTTACTCTGTATAATTTGGGCTTTCAAGAGATACGTCTTCCATATTGTATGCTTGAAATCCTTCATAGAAAGGTTTTAGATGGTGCCCATTTACCTTGAACCTTTTGGCTGTGGTTGGACTTTGAATCTCAACTGCTCCATAAGGTAAAACATTAGTAACAATGAAAGGCCTAACCCACCGAGATCTCAACTTACTAGGAAAGAGTTTAAGCCTAGAATGGAAAAGAAGAACTTTCTGACCAACTGAGAAATCTTTCATTGAAATCATTCTGTCATGGAAGGCTGTCTTTTCCTTGTAGATTCGAGAGCTCTCATAAGCGTCATTGCGAATCTCTTCAAGTTCTTGCAGTTGCAACTTTCTTTGTTCTCCCGCTTCATCCATGCGCATGTTGCATTGCTTGACCGCCCAGTATGCTTTATGTTCCAGTTCAATAGGGAGATGACATGGCTTGCCAAATACCAAGCGGTAGGGAGACATACCTATAGGAGTTTTGTAGGTCGTGCATTAAGCCCATAGTGCATCGTTGAGTCTCAAACTCCAATCCTTCCTTCTAGAGTCAACCATTTTTTCAAGTATGGACTTGATCTCCCTGTTGGACACCTTAGGTTGTCCACTTGTTTGTGGGTGGTATGCAGTGGAGATTCGATGGGTGATGTTATATTTCTTGAATAAAGCCTCTACCACCCGGTTACAAAAATGAGTGCCTCGGTCACTTATTATCGCCTTGGGCATTCCAAACCTGGAAAAAATGTGGGACTTGACAAAATCTACAACAACTTTAGCATGGTTAGTCTGGGTAGCTTTAGCTTCTACCAATTTCGAAACATAATCCACAACTAGTAGAATGTAAACATTACCAAAAGAGGAAGGAAACGGGCCCATTATATCTATACCCCATATATTAAATATTTCACATACAAGTATAGGGGTAAGCGGCATTTGATTTTTATGACTTAAGTTGCCCGTCTTTTGGCATTGTTCACAGGCCTTGCGGAACATATAAACATCATGAAACAGAGTAGGCCAAAATAATCCGCACTCCAGTATCTTTCGTGCTCTTCTTTTTGGACCGAAATGGTCCCATAGGCATACGAATGGCGAAACTGAAGAATGGAAGGGATTTCGGGGTCGGGCACGCACCTTTGAAGGATCTGATCAGAGCATTGTTCCCTAAAATGTGGGTCATCCTAGATGTAGTATTTGGCATCGCTTTTTACCTTATCTTTTTGGGCTCTTGATAATTCTCCTGGTATGGTTCTAGTAACCAAATAGTTAACAATGTTTGCGTACCATGGAGTTTCTTCTTGAATTGTAAAAGGGTGCTCGTCTGGGAACTCGTCCTTCAAAGGTGTTGCCTCTTCACTCGTGGTTAGTCTACTTAGGTGATCTGCAACCAAATTTTCTGCACCCTTCTTGTCGCGGATTTCTAGGTTGAATTCTTGTAGCAGGAGAATCTAGCGGATAAGCCTTGGTTTTACTTCCTTCTTGGCGAGCAGATATTTTAGGGCTGCATGGTCAGAATAAACAATCACTTTAGTACCCAATAAATATGAACATAATTTTTCTAGGGCAAAGACTACAACTATGAATTCCTTCTCTATTGTTGAATAATTGCATTGGGCATTGCCAAGGGTTCTCGAAACATAGTATATCGCATGAGCAGCTCTTCCAACCCTCTATCCAAGAATGGCACCGACAACATAGTTGCTTGCATCGCACATAATTTCGAAAGGGAGACTCCAATTCAGTGGCTGAAAAACTGGGGCTGAGGTCAACGATTCCTTTAACTTATCAAATGCTACCTTGCATGCTTCATCAAAATCAAACATCACATATTTCTAGAGTAGTTTACATAAGGGACAAGTTATCTTGGAAATGTCTTTGATGAATCTTTGATAGAATCTTGCATGTCTAAGAAAAGAGCAAACTTCCCATACACTTGTGGGATAAGGCAAGGATTTAATAACATCTATCTTGGCTTTATCAACTTCGATTAAAAGAGACTACATACCCCAGAATGATGCCTTGATTGGCCATGAAATGACATTTTTCATAATTCAGCACAAGGTTCTTTTCTATACACCTTTCAAGTACCTTTGTAAGGTTAGATAAGCATGAATCAAAAGAATCTCCATAAACTGTAAAATCATCCATAAATACCTCTATAATGCTTTCCACATAATATAAAAATATACTAACCATACATCTTTGGAATGTGGCGGGAGCATTGCAGAGACCGAATGGCATGCGGCGGTAAGCAAATGTACCAAAGGGACATGTGAAGGTAGTCTTCTCTTGGTCCTCTGGCGCAACTAGAATATGATGAAACCCTGAATAACCATAAAGACAACAATAATGAGATTTGCCAACTAATCTTTCAAGCATTTGATCGATAAAAGGAAGCGGGAAGTGATCTTTACTAGTTAACGAATTTAGCTTTCGGTAATCTATACACACTTGCCACCCATTTTGAATTCGGGTAGGCACTAACTCACCGTCTTGATTTTCAACCACGGTTATACCTGTTTTCTTCGGAACCACTTGTACCGGACTTACCCACTTACTGTTTGAAATTGGATAGATTATTCCGGCATCTAGAAGTTTTAAAACTTCTTTCTTCACCACCTCCATCAGAGGTGGTTTTAATCGGCGTTGGGCTCCTATTGCAGGTTTAGAGTCTTCTTCCAAAAGTATTTTGTGCATACAAGTAGATGGGCTTATTCCCTTGATATCAGCTACAATCCATCCAATTGCTTCCTTGCATCCCTTGAGTGCTTGATTCAGTTTCCTCTCTTCTAATGCATCTAGTTTGGAGGAAATTATTACAGGAAGTGTCTCCCCCTTGCCTAGGAACATATACTTTAGGTGCCTTGGCAATGATTTCAACTCCAACTGAGGTGCCTACACAATAGATGGAAGGAGTTTTGTGTGAGATAGAGGTAAACTAATAAAAGACGCATTATGGGTTATAATTTCAAGAGAGTCTAGCTCATAAGTCAAATTTCGCAATTCAGATTTCAGCACAAACTTTTGCTCTACTTGTTGCAATTGATTAGGACTATTGTTAAGTGCAACTTTCAGCGTGTCTTCATCATCTAGTTCGAAAGTTTGCTGCACTAAAGAGTTAGTAATATCTATAGAAAAATAGAATGTGCATCGTTAGGATATCTCATGGCATCATAGATATTAAACTTGACAATTTCACCATCAAATTCCATGGTAAGTGATGTAACGGTTTCCGGTCATGTATCATTTTTTGGCTAAGTACCTCGTCATCCAATTTGCTCCCAAGTGGCCAATGACTCAGGGGCTGAAGTGGAGCTCCCTAGTGTAGTGCAACCCGGCTGCTCCATGCAAGGGGTGATCTGCTCATCTTTGTAGATGGTGGGAGCTGAGGAACCTGCATGAACTGAATCAGAGAACTTGGGGTGTTTATCCGGCGAGGTCACTCCGATGGCTAAGTCCGCACTCAGTAGTGAGATGAGAATGATATTAGAGAATAGGAGAGCTAGAGAGCAGGGGCTACCATCTCCCCCTCGCCCCTAGGGGGTGAGCCTTTATATATTGGAGTCCTCATGGGTTTGGTGAAGTAGTTCCTGGATTCCCGCTGTGATGGGACCTGCTTTTGTGTTAGGTGGGGATAAAGCCACCAACTGGTAAGGTGGCCCATTTTCGCCTAAATCGGGGAGTGGGTGAGATAATATAGCTGTTACAAATCACAATCCCATAAAATGCGGGGTACGGTGGTGAGCTCCTAGGAATTATCACGCGGTGGTCGAGTTTCCTGTGAGGTGTTGCATGATGTCGAGTTCCTTGGGGCGAGCTGCCTAGTTGTCACGAGGCTACACCTAGTTGTCACTAGGCTGCACCAAGTTGTTACGAGGTGCCAGGTGTCACAGTGTCATTGAAGGGCCAAATTCGTCCTCATCATTTGCCTCCCACTCCCGAGCTGAAAGTAACTCGGCAAAGGGAGCAGATTTCTCCTTTTGGCCTGTAATTCGACGAGCCCGTAAGTGCTGATTCAGTTCCTTAGGCTTTGGGAGTGACTTATAGTCCACTCTTGTTGATTTTGTCCATGTCGAAGAGATGACTGGGTCTTAAGTGCCCATGGCGAGGAAGCGATTGGGACTTGTGAAGTGTCGAGCTGCCTGTGAGGTGCCGGGCTGACCAGGTGCCGAGCTACCTGTGAGGTGTCAAGCTAACCAGGTGTCGAGCTGCCTGTGAGGTGCCGGGCTGACCCGGTGCCGAGCTGCCTATGAGGTGCCAGGGTGACCAGGTGCCGAGATCTTTGCCAGTTCGATACTTTAGCCCTTAGGCTCTGGGAGCGACTCGTAGTCCACTCTCATTGACTTTGCCCATGCCGAAGAGGCGACTGTGTCTTATGCAGTATTGTGGCCCTTAGGCTTTGGGAGTGATGTTAGACAGTTTCGTATGCCCTTAGCTTCAATCAGAATGATGTACTTTATGAGTTTATTGTAAATGAATAAAGATACATATTTGATTCATG